AATTCGGGACAGGAACGCGAGCGGGGGGTGGGGGGGGGGAATTCCCAAATTTTTGGGGGAAGAAACTGAGTTTTTGGGGGATTAAAGTGAAATTTTAGGGAAATAAAGCAAATTTTTAGGGAAATAAAAGGGGGATTTCTGGGGGGAAATCATGGATTTTAGGGAAATAAATACAATTTTTAAGGGAATAAAGCCAGATTTTGGGGAATAAAGCCAAATTTTGGGGAATAAAGCCAAATTTTAAGGAAATAGACCCAAATTTTGGGGGAAATCACAGATTTTAGGGAAATAAAGTCAAGTTTTGGGGGAATAAACCCAAATTTTAAGGAAATAAACCCAAATTTTGGGGAAAATCCCCAATTTTGGGGGAGTTAAACCAAATTTTGGGGAAATAAACCCAAATTTTAAGGAAATAAACCCAAATTTTGGGGAATAAATCCAAATTTTGGGGAATAAATCCAAATTTTAAGGAAATAGACCCAAATTTTGGGGGAAATCATAGATTTTAGGGAAATAAATCCAATTTTTAAGGGAATAAACCCAAATTATAAGGAAATAAACCCAAATTTTGGGGAATAAATCCAAATTTTGGGGGAATAAACCCAAATTTTGGGGATAAACATTAATTTTGGGGAAAATCCCCAATTTTGGGGGAATTAAACCAAATTTTGGGGAATTAAAATAAATTTTTTGGGAAATAAATGTGAATTTCTGGGGGGAAATCAGAGATTTTAGGGAAATAAAACCAAATTTTGGGGAAATAAACCCAAATTTTGAGGGATAAATCCAAGTTTTGGGGATAAACATTAATTTTGGGGGAAAATCCCCAAATTTTGGGGAATAAATGCAAATTTTGGGGGAATAAACCCAAATTTTAAGGAAATAAACCCAAATTTTGGGGGATAAACATTAATTTTGGGGATAAACATTAATTCTGGGGGAAAATCCCGAATTTTTGGGGAATTAAAGTAAATTTTTGGGAAAATAAACGGAATTTTTAGGGAAATAAACACGAAGTTCTGGGGGAAAAACCCGAATTTTAAGGAAATAAACCCAAATTTTGGGGGATAAATCCAAATTTTGGGGGATAAATATTAATTTTGGGGGAATTAAACCAAATTTTTGGGAAAATCCCAAATGTTTTGGGGATTAAACTCAATTTTGGGGGAAATAAACCAAATTTTGGACAAATATTCTCAATTCTGGGGGATAAAGAGGAATTTGGGGGGAAAATCCCCAATTTTGGGCCGAAAACTGCTGATTTTTAACCAAAAACCCCCAAATTCTGGGCTAAAAACGCCAATTTTGGAAAAAGAAACAATTTTGGGTGAAAAATCCTTTTTTTAGGTG